AAAATTTTCCAAATCTAGAGAGACTTTCAAATATACAGAAATCCATAGACAAAGACAAGATACTAAAATTGGCAAGAGAGAAATGTCAGGTTGTCCCATCATGCTAACATCACACCTCTCATTAGATAAAATGCAAGCAAGAAAAGAATGGGAAAATATATTCAAAGTGTTAAGTGAAAAACAATTTCAACCAAGAATACTATACCCAGCAGGATATCCTTCATATGGAAAGAAAGGATAAAAACATTCTCAGATAAACAAGACCTGAAAGAATTTGACAATACCAGACCCACTCTTCAAGAAGTTCTGAAAGGAATGCTCTACCAGGAAAACTAAAGACACACATACAGAAATAAGAGAATAAAAAGCAACCAAGAAAATGACCAACTTAATGCTAGGGACAAGAAATATCAATAATAACGTTGAATGTAAACTTCTAGGATTTAAATGGAAAGATTGAACCACAGTAATACTGCAAATTCAACAGAAGAGAGATTGAACATAAGTCTGAATTGGTGAAATAGAATTCTATGACTTTTGAGTAAAACATTACTGATTATTTTTTGCTATGCTTTGTTTTCTCAATTTAGGGATTTTGCTTTCTTTTGAGTTGTTGATAGCTTTAGCAATTTGTTAAAATATTTTTCTTCTTGTTTGTTCATTTCTTTAAATGGAAACAAACTTTTCTTCTATTTAAAATATTTGGGAGTATTCTAATTTTGTGGCAGAAGAGTTATTTGCACAAATTCAATAATACCTGTTGCATTGAATCAGAAATTGGAAATATTCTTTATTGAACAGGGCTTTGACTGGGATGTCCTAACTGAAGATTAACTAGAAAACTATGGAACTAAGGCAGATCTCAAGTAAGCCAACAGATGTTCTTGGAAAGATGGCTTGGCACCATAAACTGTTCTGCCTGGCAGAGAGGATTACAGAAGCTATATGAAAGAATTCATACCACAAAATAACGTGCACTTCTCAAGCACAGCATTGTAATTAGTAGACATTGCAAAAGAGCAACCACAGCCAGAGGATTATCCTGAGGAAGACTTTGAAGGAAGAAAAAGAGACTGATCTTTGCTAACAGATGGTATATCACAGAATACTTGGTAGGCAGGGCTGAATGGTTTGTGTTTGACTTGTGTACTGGGTGTTTGCTTTTCAACAGTTTGAGTAGTTGACATGTAGATATTTTCTAAAAAATCTTTAAAACCATATTATCTCTGTAATATAGTCACAAATAAATTATAACAAATATTTTAAACATTATCTTTAATATTCAGTATTTTGAATTTTTGTTTTGAGTAAATTAACTGTCAAGAACTATGGAGTATGAGCAAAAGTTTTTGATATGTAAAGTAAACATTTGTGGGGAAATGTAAATAAATAAATGACTTTAAAAAAAAGACACCAGGTCTGGGACTTGAACTGCCTTTGGCCATGTGGGAGCCCAGCAACATAATCCCTACACCATCTGCTGGCCCTGATCAATATTGGTTTATTCATTGTGACAAAGGTACTGTACTGATTTATGATGTTACTAATGGGAGAACTGGGTATATAAGAATCCTCTGCACTGTCATTGTAACTTTATGTAAATGTAATCTATTCTAAAATTAAAAGTGTAGTTTTTTAATCTTAAAAAATTAGAAGAAGTATGATAAATTAGTAAGGGTATTTAGTCTTTTGTTAACTTTTTCCCAAGGCCAAATTGAAGTCTGGAGCATTTGTAAAATTACTTCTATTTTTAAGATTTTGTAATTTCATGGCATAATATTATCAAGAAATTTATCTCAAGCAAAAATCCCTAAGGCCATCGGCCTTATGAAAAGGTATAAGTTCTCAGTAGTCTAGTAATCTCACTATTGCATCTTTTCAATTTAATGCCTACTCAACAATTGGAGAAGAAAAAAAAAACTATTGAATAACAGCTCATTTTCATATTTTTCTCAGCAATGATCAATATGTAGTGTTTGGCAAATCTTTTTGAGATAAATACAGCAAAAGCAAAAAATCTTTTCTAATACAGAATGTTCATTGAAAACGAACAAGCACAGCATGAAAAAAGGGTGGTTATTTTTAAGCAGGTCCATTATATTCCTCTGGAGAGCAATGGTGTACATATTAAAGTAAATTCATTAGGACATGGGGCTGATGATGAAATGATATTAAGAAAGTTACTGCTGTGGTTTAACATTAGTAAACTTGAGGAACAGTGGTGAGCTATCCCACTGGGAGCACCAAGTTTGGAAAGGGAAGGGAAAAACTTCTTATTGCTTCTTTAAGATGAGTGCTACCATTTCCTACTGCTGTACCATATAAAATGGGCCAAGAAGGCAGGGGTAGGTAATTGTGAAGATTCTCAGTTGGTGTTTATGGGGGGGATGGATGATCTGCAGCAAGAAGACACAGGGGGGTGAAGACTGCTGAATAGTTGTATCTACACAAAACATGTCACGTATTTCATTAATTGAATATTAACAGAGCATAGCAGAAGATAACAAGGATCAACTACATGATGAGGATGAGAAGATTCAGGGAATTCATGTTTGTAACACTTCTGGCAGAAAGAGAGGGCCTTTATATTTTTCTTTTTAAAGGAAGTTGGTGACTTTAATAACTGCATCTTTTTCTTAAAACTTTTAAGAAAAAATTTCAGAAAAGCAAAGACTGGATTGTAATCAGAAAGAACATCTTTGATTTGTACTGTCAGATTTTTAAAATCTCAAATGAATAATACCTCTTTATTTAGCACTTTTATGTTCCCGTTATAATGTATGCTCTTTAGGGATTTTCTTTTCTTTTTTTATGAGAGATTTTTGCTATAGGGCACACCAGAGAGAGACAAAGAGACAGAAAGTAAGAAATCACCCCCCAGTGGAATGGCCATGCCATAATTGTTTCTCTTCCATTCTTCTCTTGGGATCTTGGTCATGCATGCACAAGTACCCAGCATGAATTTCAAACTGCCAAGTCCGGGACTTGAACTGCGGTCAACTACATGGGAGTCCAGCGACGTGACCATTACGCCATCTGTTGGTCTCAATTCTTTGGGGATTTTCAAAATGATGTAAAACATCCTTCTCTTCAAATTACTATGAAGTAACTTGACTCCAATTTAACAGCAGAGTGACAGCAGGTAAGTAGACAAAAACATTAAGAGAACAATGCATGACCTGACTCTTTGGAAATAGTGGATGGAGCAAGGCTATTGGAAATGAAGGCCAGCAAGAAATTTATTAAAATATAATTTCTAAAATATTTTTAATAAAATGTACCTGTACTTTTGATATGTACTTAAAGAGACTCATGCAGTAAGAATACTTTTAATAATGAGACAAATGCGGTCTTGCCAAAAAGGCCCATCTCTCTGGAAGGGCATGGCAATAAGTCTATGATGAGAAAGAGCACACATTTATATGCAAGTCAGTTCCAAACATTCTTACTCCGAAGGACACATCTTCCCTTTACTATTCCCTTTGGGTTCCTGTTGGGTCATTTGATTATTTAAGGATGGATACCCAGAATCTATTTTCCCTTCAGTCTTCCCAAAGAGTCACAGTTCCTTCTAGCCTTCACTTATTGTTCTCAAACCATCAAAAGTTATTCCTGGATCCTCTTTTGGAGAGCAACCTTAGTGGAGCATTTAAAAGACAAAATAACACTTCTCTGGCCAATATTCGTCACTTCTCAAGACACATCTGATATATTATTTTGTGAAAACAAAACTAAAAATTCTTCTCACTACTGGTGAGGAAGAGAAGAAATGAAAGGGGCAAAGGGGACATTGTATTATAATACACCTGGTATATGTGTAAGTGTGTGCTGCTAACATAGTTGAAAATGGCCACCAAGTAGGTGTTTATCAAATAGGTTTTTATTTATCCTTCCTAAACTATCACATTTATGCTATCTATTTCAAAGCCTTATTCTTCTACACAGCACTTTAGTTTTTTTTAGTTTCAACTTTATCAGAATTATGAAAAAATTCTTATTAAGGTAGTTCTGATTAGTGAAATATTATACTACTCAGATACTCTTTATAACTCTATTATTTTCAAACATTGCCACTGTCCTATCTACTTGATTTTTATAATATTTTCACTTCTCCAGTAAATGCCTTGGCACTGTCTAAAGCTAGAAATGTTTTAACAAAAGGCATTATAAGGGAATATGAAATTGTTTTCAAAATAGAACTTTTTAAAGATTTTACTTCATGCAAATACAATGTCTCCAATGTAGTTTCAATGTTGTCATAATGAGTAAAGTAAACCCTCATAAATAAATAAATAACTATTCCTAGTCACAAACGAAAATCTGTTTATTCGTGGCAACACAGTAGCACAGAGGGAGAGTTCTATAGCCTCTCATTTCATTCCAGACCAGTTTACATCTATTCACACCACAAGACAAATGGCTAAGACAGGCATAATATGTTTTCCATAGTAAGATAATTTCACTATTCCATTCATATCTTACTTATTTACTACTAGATCTTTCTATTAAACAAATATATATGAATATTACTCAGATATTTGTTATTTGTCTACATTTAATTATTCTTGAGATGTGCAGAGACAAACAGAGTTTCTTCTTTTAGGAAGAGATTGAATGTAACAAATGTGCAATGTAATGAGGATAGTAAAGATGAGGAATAAGTAAGTACTTTGGACAAATCTGAAACCTAAAGACATTTCTTAAATAAACTCATCTTTCATATACCACTAAATATGTATATAAGGCAATATTTTATAAAAACAAAACCAAATAAAGTTTAGTGCCTGTCCCTGTTCTCGAGAAACTTACTGTCTGCCAAAAAGCATATTAAAAAATTTACTATGGTATAATGTGATCAATGCCAACAAACAGGCATAGGCAAATTTCTCATAATTGCAAAATTTGACAAGCTCACTATCTTAGTCTGTTCATGCTGCTATAACAAAATACCACTGCCTGGGTAATTTATAAAGAATAGAAATCCCCACTTCTCACAGTTCTAGAGGCTGGGAAGTCAAGGTGCTGGCAGATTCAGTGTCTAGTGGAGGTTTGCTCTCTGCTCCCAAGATGGCATCTTATTGCTGTGTCCTTACTTGGGGAAGGCTGAAGGACAAAAAAGACAAAAGTTGTGTAAAGCCTCTTTTATAAGAACATTCATTTCGTTTATGAGAGTGGAATCCACATGACCTAATCACTCCTTGAAGACTTCCCCTCTTAATACTATTGCATTGGCTATTAAGTTTTTTTAATCACTCACTTTATTTTTTTTTTATTTTTTATTTTTTTTCATTTCACCAGCAAGAGACAGAGACAGAGAGTGTGAGAAAG